GAAATATTTATATTTTGCACAATGTTAGGTCCTGTTAGATTTGGTATTTGTTGTCATTTTGTCTTTTAAGGGATATTTGGCTGGCATCCTTACATAGCTGTTTGTTGAGATGGGAGGTGATTTTGCAAGTTAGTGAGGCAAGGGAAGATACACTGGTGGGGGCAACAGAGGAGCACTCCTATGATGGCTATTGCTGTGGCTCCCCAAAGGAGAGCTTCCAGTATTCTATTCTATTCTATTCTATTCTATTCTATTCTATTCTATTCTATTCTATTCTTTGATGTCAAAGATGCCAATGTATACATAGCCCATTTATTTCATTTTCTGCTGTATCAACTTTTCCCAAGTTTGTGCTTATGATCCATGTTTCCACTGTAATTGTCTTTCAAGCTTCAGATTTTCTTTTTCCTGCATAGCATCAGCAATGAGATGTCCCAAAGGTTTTAGTCTATCTAGCCTTGCCATAAACACCATTAGTATGCTGAAAAATCCTCAGCAGTGTGTTGAGTGCCATTCAGCCTGAGAGACCCATTATAAATCACTACTTCATCAATGACTATTGATTATCACGTGGTTTTCCTGGGAAATGTAGGAATGGCTTACCATTGCCCTCTCCTATACAGTATGAAATAATTCCTTGCTACTGTCACTCTAGTGATCAGCCATCTCCAATATCTTTTTGTATCATTGCTTGCTTTAGCTAGACTTCTTGGGTGATCGTAGCTGATCTTGCTGGAACTATGAGTATACACTTCTAGGGTATTCAGTTAGCTGTTCCAGGAACACTCATACCCAGTCATGATGAACCAGAATAATAATAATAATAATAATAATAATAATAATAATAATAATAATAATAATAATAATAATAATAATAATAATAATAATAATAATAATAATAATAGTAAAGTTGGAAGGGACCTTGAAGGTCATCTAGTCCAACCCCCTGCTCAGGCAGGAAACGCTATACCATTTCGGACAAATGGCTGTCCAGTCTCTTCTTAAAAACTTCCAGTGTTGGAGCATTCACCGCTTCTGGAGGCAGGCTGTTCCACTGGTTAATTGTTCTCACTGTCAGGAAGTTTCTCCTTAGTTCTAGATTGCTTCTCTCCTTGATTAGTTTCCACCCGTTGCTTCTTGTCCTGCCTTCAGGTACTTTGGAGAATAGCTTGACTCCCTCTTCTTTATGGCAACCCCTGAGATATTGGAACACTGCTATCATGTCCCCCCTCGTCCTTCTCTTCATTAAACTAGACATACCCAATTCCAGCAGCCGTTCCTTATATGCTTTAGCCTCCAGTCCCCTAATCATCTTTGTTGCTCTTCTCTGTACTCTTTCTAAAGTCTCAACAT